ATTCCCAACTTGCTTATAAGAAATTCAAATACTGGTTTAAACAGCCCCTTTGTAAAGATATCAGCTGTCTGCTCTTTAGTAGATATGAATGGTGTGCACACAATTCCAGCTTCAATCTTCTCTTTGATAAAATGCCTGTCCACCTCAATGTGTTTAGTACGATCATGTAGCACAGGATTGTGAGCAATATTAATGGCTGCTTTATTGTCACAATATAACTTCATAGGTAGGTCCATTTCCATATTCAACTCTGTCATCATTCTCTTGATCCAAAGTAGTTCACAGATTCCATTAGCCATAGATCTAAATTCAGATTCTGCACTACTTCTGGCAACAACATATTGCTTCTTACTCCTCCAAGTCACTAGATTCCCCCATACATAAGTACAATACCCAGATGTAGACCTTCTATCAGTTATTGAACCAAAATAATCTGCATCTGTAAAGGCTTCTACACCTCTATTGTCACTTCTTTTAAAAAATAATCCTTTCCCTGGACAGCTTTTCAAATATCTTAGGATCCTGTAGGTAGCATCTAGATGTTCTTGGAATGGATTATGCATGAACTGACTAACCATACTGACTGCAAAGGCAATATCTGGCCTTGTATGTGCCAGATAAATCAACCTTCCCACCAATCTTTGATATTGGTGAATATTAACTGGTACTCCTTCCTTGACATTTCCTAACTTTTGATTAGGGTCAATTGGAGTATCTATTGGTCTGCAGGCACTCATACCTGTTTCATGAAGTAGGTCTAGTACATACTTCCTTTGGGATACCACAATTCCCTTCTTTGATCTGGCTATCTCCATGCCAAGAAAATACTTCAATTCTCCCAAGTCTTTGATTTCAAATTCCTGAGCAAGCTTCTTCTTCAGGTCTTCAATCTCTTCACAATAGTTTCCTGTAAGAATTATATCATCCACATAAACAATTAGTACTGCAATTTCTCCCTTAATGGAGAATTTCATGAATAGTGTATGGTCTGCTTGAGCTTGCTTGAATCCCTGCTTCTTTATGAATTGAGTAAACCTTTCAAACCAAGCCCTTGGGGACTGTTTAAGCCCATATAAGGCTTTCTCTAGCTTGCACACCTTTGAGCCATATTGTTCCTCAAACCCAGGAAGGGGGCTCATGTATACTTCCTTTTCAAGCTTCCCATTTAGGAAAGCATTCTTCACATCTAACTGTTGAAGAGGCCAGTCTAGGTTAGTAGCTAGAGATAGTAGGATCCTTATAGTATTTAATTTTGCAACTGGTGCAAAAGTCTCTGTATAATCTATGCCATAGGTTTGTGTGTATCCTTTGGCAACCAATCTGGCTTTATATCTTTCAAGTGTACCATCTGCCTTGAATTTAGGGGTAAACACCCATTTGCATCCAACCCTTGGTTTGTTTTTGGGTACCTCTACAGTCTGCCATGTCTGATTCTTTTCAAGGGCATTCATTTCTTCTAAAACAGCCTTCTTCCACTCAGGTATAGATAGGGCTTCCTGTATGGTTAAGGGAATAGAAACAGTGGAAAGGCTAGAGGTAAAGGCTGCAAATGATGTAGATAACTGAGAATAGGACAGATAGTTTGAGATAGGGTATTTAACACATGACCTTTTTTCTTTTCTGAGAGCAATTGGTAGATTTAGATCACTGAAATTATTACCTTTGTCATTTTCTGGCATTGAGTCAGATTCATGGACAGTGGCAGGATCAGGGATGTCCTCTATTCTGTGATTTGGAACTCTCCTTTCATAAACCTTGCCAAAAAACTTACTTGTCTGCTGTTCATCATCTTTCCTTGTTTCAGAATTTTTTTTTTCATTTTCTTTTGACTCTTGACTATTTTCTAGTGCATCTAACTGTCTATTATACTGTGCATCTAGATTAATGTCAAGAGGTTCTAGTTTTTCATGGATATGTGATACATTATTACCATCTTCATTAGGAATCTCCCCCTGAAGATGAGTACCAAAAAAGGTTGATCTTCTACAAAAACAGTGTTCATAGTTATAAACATCTTTTTTGTTATAGGGTCAAAACATTTATAGCCTTTCTGAGTTGAAGAGAGTCCTAAGAAAACACATTTTTTTCCTCTAGGGTCAAATTTACTTGCAGTTCTGTCAGGATTGGTAATAAAAACTGTGCACCCAAAAATTTTTATGGGAAGAGAATTAATTAGTCTAGTTTCAGGAAAACAATCTTGAAGAGTATCAATAGGAGTTTTGAATCATAGAGTTTTTGATGGCATCCTATTAATTAGATAGGTAGCATGTAAAACAGCTTCTCCCCATAAATATTTTGGAATTTTAGCAGAAAACATAATTGCACGAGTGACTTCAAGTAAATGTCTATTTTTCCTCTCAGCTATTCCATTCTGAGCAGGTGTATTTACACAGGAACTTTGATGAATAATCCCTTTTTCAGCAAAAAAAGTATTTAACTTCTTAGAAAAGTACTCAAGTCCATTATCACTTCTCACAATTTTGATATTAGTGTTGAATTGAGTTTGGATCATTGAGTAAAATTGTTTGAACACCTCTTCAATCTCAGATTTTTCTTTAAGTAAAAACACCCATGTGACCCTTGTGTGATCATCTATGATAGTTACAAACCACCTTTTTCCTTTCAGAGTCGAAACTCTAGATGCACCCCAGATATCAGTGTGTACAATAGTGAAAGGACTAGTTGGTTTGTAACTATGAGGGATGTAAGAACTCCTATGATGTTTGGCAAGTGCACACATATCACAATGAAATGATGAAGGATTTTTATTAAGAAATAACTTAGGAAACAACATTTTCAGATAGGAAAAACTTGGGTGACCTAATCTATAGTGCATTAAATACACTTCATTATTACAAGGAAAGAAAACAGTTTGCAAACAAGTTTTTTCTTGACCTTGTTTATTCAATTGTGTTCCTTCATCAAAAGTATAGAGGCCATCCTCCTCTCTAGCACTGCCAATCATCTTCCCTGATGCCAGATCCTGAAAAATGCAATAAGAGGGAAAAATTTTTACACAACACTGAAGATCTTTAGTAATTTTGCTAATAGAGATAAGATTACAGGAAAGTTTAGGAACATGTAAGACTTTGGAAAGGTTAATGGATGAGGAAATTTTAATATTTCCCATCCCTGCTATGGCTGAAAAAGAGCCATCTGCAACTCTAACTTTCTTATCTCCTGCACAAGGTTGATAAGAAGAAAAAAACTTTGGAATGTAGGTCATGTGGTCTGTTGCACCTGAGTCAATGACCCATGTGTTTTTAGGTTTTTCAGAACAAAAATATGATGTTATTTTACCATTTTGGGCAAAAGAACAGGTAGGGTTTTCTTGGTTAGAGATTTTCTGGGTGGGTATGAATTTGAGTAGGTACTCTATCTGTTCCTGAGTGAATGGTAGCTGTTTAGGTTCAACTACTGCCTCTTGTTGAATCTCAGTCACAGTAGTTTGTAGGGCCCTTTCTACTTTCTTCTTCCCAGCTCCTGGTGGTTTTCCATGGAGTTTCCAGCATGTATCCCTTGTGTGCCACAGTTTTTTGCAGTGATCACACCAAGGTTTTTTCTTGTTGTCATCACTTCTGGCCACCAAAGCTGAAGATTCCCCAGGTTCCTCATTAGGTACTGGGGTGTTGTACATGACCTTCTTCCTGCTATCCTCCATCCTGATTTCAGAAAATACCTCCCTGATAGAGGGTAGATGTTTTTTTCCAAGTATCCTCCCCTTAACTTCATCTAGATCCCTATTGATTCCTGCTAGAAACATATAGACCCTATCATTCTCTTCTTTTTTCTTATGTCTGGCCAGATCCTTAGCACTCTCCCACTCTTCATCATCATAGCATTGATCTAATTCTTGCCACAGAGATACCATTTCATTGTAGTATGAAATAATATCCCTATTTCCTTGTTTAGATTGCCACAGTTTGGTTTTGAGTTCAAAAATTTGAGAAGAGTTCTCAAGATCTGAATAAGTTTCCTTAATAGAATCCCATACCTCCTTTGCAGTTTTCATAAACATATGAGGTTTGGCAATTAAGGGCTCCATGGAGTTGAGAAGCCAAGCTGTTATGAGTGAATTCTCTGACCTCCATGTACTGTACCCTTCTTCTGCAGGTAGTTTTGGTTGGATTTCTCCTGTGATGTAACCCAGCTTTCCCCTCCCATCAATTGCAAGTCTGACAGATTGAGACCACTCCAGATAGTTTGTTCCATTCAATCTATGACTAGTGATTATCATAGATGAATGAATAGGAGACTGGTAATTTGTCATAGAGCTAATTTGGGAGTTAGGGTTGATAGTGTGTGAGGAATCAGCTTCACTGGTTTCTACCATTGTTTAAACCGAATCTCTGATACCATGTAGGTTTGAAGAATTAATCTTCCTTGTTTTATTGAGCCATCCGGCAATGATATATATACAAGATTACAGATAAACTAAGGTTTGTTACAGATCCTAAATATTAGGATCTATCTATTCTTATCTACACTGCGAGCTAATCTAAGAGTTAGAGTCCTAAATCAACTCTAATTCCTATCTATACAGTTCCGGATGTACACATAATAAAATAACATGTATATGCTACATTTTTCTACAAAAAACTTTCAATCTAGGACCTAAAATTTCATAGGTTTTGATTTATTTAATTTTTTATGATAGAACACTGGTATTTGATTCACAGAACAATACCGAATCCAATAACAAAAGTAGATGACAGATAGAAAACAATCTATTGAGAAGAGAATGTCGTAAAAGGTGTACAGGGGTGGGACAGTTCGAGATGCCCAATCTCCAAGCTACCAGCAAATAACAAAATAACAGCCTGCCTTATTTAGTTCTCCCCTTACTATTTATAGCTAATTATCCACGCAGGGACAAACCGAACTAGCTATTAGTTAGTTAAGTAACAATGACTACTTATTTCTCCTATTGTACACCCTATTGAAATATTTAATAGGCTGTTGCTGCACCACATGCCTATCATTACCCCCCCCCCCCCCCCCCGAAATTTCACCTTGTCCTCGAGGTGAAGGTCTGGAAACTGTTATGTCAATGATTGCAATAATTCCCAAGAATCTTCAAACTGAGGCAAGTCCTTCCAGTGTACCAGGACCTCCATCTTTCCCTCCTTGTTAACCCTTGATTCCAACACTTCTTCAGGTATCACCTGTAACTCCCATTCTTCACTCAAACATTTAGGTAGGGGCTGAAATGCAGTTGTAGAAGATATAGCCTTCTTAAAAAGTGAAACATGAAACACTGGGTGCACTTTGCTGTCTTCTGGCAGTTTTAGTTTAAAGGCTACAGGACTTAATTTTCCAATTATCTCAAATGGGCCATAGTATCTAGGGCTTAATTTCTGGTTGATTCTTCTGGCCAGACTCCTCAGCTTGTAAGGTTGGATTTTCAAATAAACCATGTCCCCCACTGCCAACAATACTTCTCTCCTATGCTTGTTGGCCTGCTGCTTCATTTGATTTTGAGCTATTTCCAGATTTTCTTTCAATTCTTTGAGCATTAAGTTTCTCTGGGCAGTCATTCTGGAAACTTCTTCCACCGCTGTAAGATTAGCATCCTCTCTAATCACAGTAGGAGGATCCTGACCATAAAGAGCCTTGTAAGATGTCATTTTCAGTGATGTATGATAATTTGTATTGTACCAGAATTCTGCCCAAGCTAACCAATTAACCCATTGCTTGGGTCTCAACTTAAATACACCTCAAATAAGTTTCTTAAATACACCTCAAATAAGTTTCTAGGCACCTGTTGACTACTTCAGTTTGACCATCCGTTTGAGGATGATAGGCTGTGCTGTATTTAAGTTGAGTCCTAGCTAGTTTGAAGAGTTCAGACCAAAAAGTACTCAGAAATATGCTATCTCTTTCACTCACAATCGTTTTAAGGAATCCATGCAACTTGACTATCTCCCTGGTAAACAATTCAGTCACTTCTTTAGCATTAAAGGGGTGGGATAAAGCTAAGAAGTGAGCTGATTTTGTCAATCTATCCACAATGACCATGATTGTATCCTTTCCCTGTGATTTTGGCAAACCTCCCACAAAATCCATGGAAATGTCAGTCCAAATATTCTGAGGAATAGGCAGGGGTTGTAATAACCCAACTGGTTTTAACATGTAGGACACTCATCAACATACTTCTTTATGTCCTTCCTCATACCATGTCAATAAAACAAATTAGATATCCTCTTCATAGTCCTGAAATAGCCAGAATGACCCCCCATTGCAGAATCATGACACTCCTTCATGATTTTGGTAACTCTAGGAGATTTACTAGGTAAAACTAGCCTCCCCTTGTAGTATAGCAACCCTTTAATATTTTGAAACTCCTGGTACTGATCTGGTTGTGATATGATATGCTGAAGTAATGATTGACATTTAGGATCTGTAAGCAGCTCTTCTTCTAGCCCTTCCCATTCCTGACAAGTGACTATGGACAATGCATTGAAGGATGGTCTTGTGGATAATGAATCTGCAGCTGTATTTTCCATACCAGGTTTTTATTTGATACTAAAATTATAACCCAGTAACTTGGAAGTCCATTTTTGTTGTTCTTCACCCATCAGCCTTTGTTCTGCCAAAAATCTTAAGCTCTTTTGATCTGTATGAACTTCAAAAGTTCTCCCCAACAAGTAGGGTCTCCATTTTTGGACTTCCAGAACAATAGCCATTAATTCCCTCTCATAAACATATCTGTTCTGATTCCTTTTAGACAATTCTTTTCCCATGTATGCAATAGGCCTGCCATTTTGCATCAAAACAGCCCCCAAACTTGTCCCCGAAGCATCAGTTTCTACTATGAACATCTTGTTGAAATCTGGGACTGCCAGAACTGGTAAGGTGTTCATTCTTCTTTTCAATTCTTCAAAGGACTTGGTAGCATCTGCCCCCCATTGAAAACTGTTCTTCTTCAACAGCTGAGTCAAAGGTAAAGCAATCTTGCTATACCCTTGTACAAATCTTCTGTAATAGCTAGTGAGTCCCCAAAATCCCCTTAGTCCCTTCAAATCTTTGGGTTCTGGCCATAGAACCATGGCTTCTATCTTGGCAGGATCTGCAGCAACTCCACTACCAGATATGATATGACCCAAATAGACCAGCTCTGATTGCCCAAAAGAACATTTTTTGGATTTATAACTAGCTGGTTCTCCTTCAAAGCTTTTAATACCATCCTCAAGTGTTCTTGATGTTCTTCCTTTGATTTACTGTATATAAGAATGTCATCAAAGAAAACCAGTGCAAACTTTCTGAGAAATGGTCTTAAGACTTGATTCATGAGTGCTTGAAAAGTAGATGGTGCATTTGTCAGACCAAAGGGCATTACCAAATATTCTTAGTGTCCCTCATGAGTCCTAAATGCAGTTTTATAGCCTATCTTCCTCCTTCATTCTAATCTGGTGGTAACCAGATTTCAGATCCAACTTAGAAAAAATCTGAGCCCCACCCAATTCATCCAGTAATTCTTCAATGACAGGTATAGGAAATTTATCAGGTATAGTAATCTTATTTAAAGCCCTATAGTCTCCACAAAATCGCTAGCCCTAATAGAGAGAAGAGAACAAATGTTTTGAATATATTTCTGTGTGTATAAAACTGATTTACAAGGCTGCTATTTATACATCTCTTAATCATGTATATAAGGTAAATAATAATACTATAGTAAATGCCAAAGATATGTAACTGCTGACTACAATATTGTGTTTTAAAGAATCCTGAAACTGAATTATTTCTTTCCTTCAATACGCCCCCGCAAGCTAGGTATTCTGTCACTGCCAAGAATCCTGAGCTTGTCTCTAAGAAGAATGAAGCGTTGCCGGGGGAGCGGTTTGGTGAGGGCATCAACTATCTGATCAGAGGATGGAATGTGATGAACTTGAAGAAGGCCACCGTGAACCCGCTGCCGAACAAAATGAAAGTCAATTGCCACATGTTTCATGCGAGTGTGGAAGACAGGATTTGCTGAAGACGTAGTGGCACCTTTGTTATCACAAAGGAGGAGTGGAGGAGAAGGGAGCGGGTGCCGCAACTCACGCAACAGAGATTCAATCCAAATAATTTCAGAGGCAGCGGTGGAAAGAGCTCGATATTCAGCTTCCGTGGAAGACTTAGCAATGGTACGTTGCTTAACTGATTTCCAAGATATAAGAGATTCCCAGAGAAAAATGGCATATGCGCTAGTAGAAGAACGGTCATCAGGGTTCCCTGCCCAGTCAGCATCAGCAAAGGCACGGAGAGAGGGGGATGTGCTAGGACAGAGAAACAAGCCATGAGAAGCAGTTCCCTGTAGATAGCGCAAAAGACGTTTGAGAAGTTGCCAATGATTGACCGTAGGTTTATGCATGAATTGAGCCAGTTTGTTAATAGCAAAGGCAGCATCTGGACGGGTAAGATTCAAATATTGAAGTGACCCGAGGACCTGGCGATAGAGAGTGTCATCACATGTACCTGAACTGTCAAACAGGGTTAATGAAGCAGAGGGAGCTAACGGCGTAGCTACCGGATTGACCTCATCCATTTTTAACATTTTTAATAAGTCCATATTGTATTTATGTTGATCAAGGAAGAGTCCGCCCTGTGTAGGAGTAACCTGCATGCCCAAGAAATAGTGTAGGGAGCCAAGATCCTTGATAGAAAATCGGTGGGCCAATGAGTCAATAGTCTGACGTATCAAGTCGGGTGTAGAGCCAGTAACAATAATATCATCCACATAGACCAAAACATAGATGTAAGATGGATGGGAGGAAAAGATGAACAGACTGGCATCAGCAACCGATTGAGAAAACCCAAGTGACAGAAGAAAGCCACTAAGAGATTGATACCACACACGAGGTGCCTGTTTAAGGCCATAAATAGATTTCCGAAGACGACAAACAAACCCAGAACCATCATTAAAGCCCGGAGGTTGCTTCATGTAAACTTCCTCCTGAAGAGTCCCATGTAGGAATGCATTATTGACATCTAACTGATGTACTGGCCAACCATGAGAAAGAGCAATAGTCAGAACAATACGAATGGTGACCGGTTTGATGACCGGACTAAAGGTGTCGGAATAATCAATCCTGGGGCGCTGATGGAAGCCCTTAGCCACTAGCCGAGCCTTATAGTGATCCAAGGAGCCATCCGGTTTATACTTCACTGTATATACCCATTTACAACCCACAATATTCTGACCAGGCTGAGCCGGAACAAGATCCCAAGTGCCCTGTCGAACCAAGGCATCAAATTCTACTGTCATAGCACTCCGCCATTGTGGTACCTGCATAGCTTGAGAAGCACAAGTGGGAATTATATGGTGAGGTAAAGGATCAACAGTGGCAACATTGGCTTGTTTACGGGGTCGAAGGGTCATCGGATGGGTACGTTTGGGAGGTGGAGTATCGAGGGGTGGATTTGAGGTGGTGAGATCAGTGGCGGGTAAACAAGGGGGGGGGGGATAGGAGAATTGGGTTTGGGTCGGCGTTGGTATACTTGGTAAGTAATAATTTGTGGTGGTGTGGGTTTAGGGAGAGGAGAAAGCGGGATATCAGTTTGAGTAGAGGTAGTGGGTGACGTGTCAAGAGTCAATTGTTGAGCCGAGGTATGAGGAGACGCCCCCGCAGCCAGAGTACCTGAAATGGGAATATAAGACATAGAAGGCGGAAGCCAGTGATCAACTTCAGAAGTGATATTTGAGACGGGTGGTGAGGATGTAGAAAAAGGGAAGACTGACTCATCAAACACAACATGTCCGCTGACAAAGATACAGTTGGTGGTAAGATCAAGACAACGATAGGCACTTTGTTGGTCACAATATCCCAGGAAGACACATGGTTTGGAGCGTGGTTCTAATTTATGAGTGGTATAGGGACGTAACCACGGAAAACATTGGCACCCAAAAACAGCAAGTTTAGTGTAATTAGGAGGTTGTTGGAAGAGTTTTTCATATGGAGTGCAGAAGTTAAGAGAGAGAGAGAGCAGGTTGTCTATTAATGAGATAAACTGCGGTAAGAAAAGCATAAGACCAATATTTAAGAGGCATAGATGCATGGTGAAGTAGGGTGATACCAGTTTCCACAATATGACGATGCCGACGTTCAGCAAAGCCATTGTGCTCTGGAGTGTAAGGAGGTGTAAGTAAATGAGAAATCCCACATGTGCTTAAGAATTTCCCTAAGGTTATGTATTCGCCTCCCCCATCAGAATAAACTGTTTTAATTGTGCGTTGAAAAAAGTTTTCAACAATCTTTTTAAACTTTTGAAAGAGTGGAGTGACCTCACTTTTATGAGTTATAGGATAAAACCAAATATACTTGGTATAATGATCAACAAAGATAACATAGTAACGAAAGCCATCAATAGAATTAACACGAGCGGGACCCCAGACATCTGTATAGATTAAATCTAGAGGTCCAAAGCTCGAAAGAGATGATTTTGCAAAGGGCAGCTTATGGCTTTTATTACTAGCACACGAGACACACAAAGAGTTATTCGAAGTAACATCGGAAAAGGAAATACCTAAGGACGACAAAATTTTTTTAGTAATAGGGAGGGCTGGATGTCCTAAGCGACAGTGCCAATTATTAAGGGAATATTTTTGTGTGTTGTGAGCAGACGGAGATGGTGGAGGGGGTACATCTGGCAAGCTGTAGACGTCTCCTTTATTCATACCCCGTAACAAAATTGCTCCCGTTCGCCGGTCCTTAACAAGACAAAATGAAGAATGAAATTCAATTAGTACATCATTATCACGACATAATTTGGCGACAGAAATTAAATTGGTATGAATAGAAGGGACGAAAAGGGTATTAGGTAGAGAAAGAGAGTGAAGGGTCATATGCCCAACTTGTGCTATCGCAAGACCTTTACCGTTACCAATAACGAGAGAATCAGTGCCAGTATAATCAGATGTCAAGGTAAGATTATTCAGGTTGTTGGTGACATGATTGGTTGCTCCAGAATCAAGTAACCATCCATTATGATTAGTGACAGCCGTGTTGACCTGAGTAGGATAAGCCTGTTGTTCAAACCGATGCCAACAATTGAGAGCGGAGTGGTTTGGTTTCCCACAAATTTGGCACATAATATTTGCTCCGAAATTGGGATTACTATTCCCGGAGATGTTGCGGGTTGTCATATTGTTGGTGGTACCCCGAAAAGTATTCTGGCCACGTCGGTTTGAATTTTGAGAAAAATTGGGCCGCTTGTTTCTGGGCTGACTCCCGGTAGAACCCCGGGCTGAGTTGTTTGTGCGGCTGGGCTGATAATGAGATGGGCCAGGGCCTAATAAAGAAGGTGTATTAGACTGCCCTGGAGTTCTGCGGGTAGTAAATGTATTCGCCTCCCCCATCGCCACGTTATTCGCCGTCACCACGCCAACGGTCGTATCCAGAGCCTCCTTCCGCCGCAGAGTAGCTTCGAACCCGGTGAGCAAGGCGTAGATGTTGCCGAAACTGTTATCTCCACACGTGCGAATGGAGTTTGTGAAGGATTCAAACTCAGGTCGGAGGCCCTCCATGGCTTGAAGGACGAAGTCGTCGTCGTCAACAGTGCGGCCAGCCTTAGCTAATTCATCGGCGAGGGTACGGAGATGATGAAGGTACTCACCCACTGCCTTAGATCCCTGTCGAGTGTGGCGGAAAACATCCTTCATATTCCGGATTTGAGCTGCTGAACGGGTGCTGTAAAGCTGCTCTAGGGTCTTCCACACCGCAGCAGAGGTACGTGCGGATCCAACCAATGGTTTGCACGCCGAGCTCAGGGAGGAGACAAGGGCATGTCGGAGGAGACGGTCTTGACGATTCCACCGGAGATGGCCTGCAGCTTCACTGGCAGGTGGCGGAACAACACCATCACTGATGTATAGGTCGAGATGAGAGCCAACCAAGAGGTCAAGCACTTGGTCACGCCATATGAGGTAATTCGTTCCTTCAAGTTTTTCTGGGAAGTGGTTGGGGTTGAGGATGATTAACCCATCTGGAGTGAGGGGGTTGATGACTGCAGTAGAGGAATTTGTAGAAGAAATGGTAGGCTGCCCGTTTGGGGAATTTCTGAGATCCCCTTGCTGAGGGGGGTCGTCTGCCTCCATAGGGAGAGGGAGATGGCTGGTTAGAGCTCGTGTGGCTCTGATACCATAATAGAGAGAAGAGAACAAATGTTTTGAATATATTTCTGTGTGTATAAAACTAATTTACAAGGCTGCTATTTATACATCTCTTAATCATGTATATAAGGTAAATAATAATACTATAGTAAATGCCAAAGATATGTAACTGCTGACTACAATATTGTGTTTTAAAGAATCCTGAAACTGAATTATTTCTTTCCTTCAATAAGCCCCCATCCTTCTTCTTAGCTAGTAAAATAGGGCTGCTATAAGGGCTATTACTATGCTGAATTATACCTTCATTGAGCATCTCCTTTATGATTCTTTCAATTTCAGTCTTCTGATACTGAGGATACCTGTAGGGCCTTATGTTTGGGATTTCTGCTCCTTGTTGAATATTAATTGCATGATCACAGGTTCTTCTTGGGGGTAATTTCTTCAGAGGTGCAGAAACTTCTGGAAATTCAGCCAAAATATGTTTCCAGGTTCCATCTGTTTCATCCCCTTCCTTCAATTCCACATATTGACCCTCACAGTAAACCAAATATCCATCCCCTGTATCATGTAAGATTTGAGTCATCGTTTTCAAAGAAATCTCAAGAGAATTTAAATATGGATCCCCTTGTATCATCTGCTTATTCCCTTGTTCCTGCCATCTTATAATCTGCTTCTGGAAATTGACCTCAACATCTCCTAAAGTGGCCAACCATTCCATCGCCAGCACCACATCAGTACCCCCTAGCTCAAGGATGTAAAATTCCTGCTGAACTACTGCTTCCTGCACACTTAACTTCAATGCTTCACACCTCCCATTATTAGCTAATTTTCCCCCATTCCTAATCTGCACTTTGTACCCTGTAATGGTGTCATAGGGAATTCCAAGCTGATTTACCATCCCCTGAGATATAAAGTTATGAGTAGCTCCACTGTCAATGAGTATCTCCACTTCCTTTTCACCCAAACTCCATTTTAAACACCCCTTCACTTTGAAAGCTCTCATGGAAGGGATCCCTTCCTTGCTCATAAGTGAAAGCTGCATGGACTTGGATTCCATGACAACTTCTTCTTCTTCAGGAATTTCTCCAACTTCATTTTCAGATTCTTCCTCTTCTGCAGAATCTTCTACCAGAATGAGCTTATAGTTCTTTAGTTTACAGGTATGTTCCCTATTCCATTTATCACCACATTTAAAACAAAGCCCCTTCCTGCTTCTCTCCTGGTACTCTTCTTGTGACAGTTGAGGTCCCACATTTCTATATCCAGAGGGATGTATTTCAGTGATCTTCCTTGCTAATTTATCAAACCATGACTGGTTACTCTTGTTTTCAGCCCCATTTTTACTCTGATGTGACCAGGAATTGCCAAATCTGCTCTTGTATCCTTCACCCCAATTCTGAGTCTTCATAGGTACAGGTCCTCTCTCCTTTCTAGATAACTTGTCCTCCTCTTTTCTCTTCAAATATTTTGCCTCATTCTTCTGCTCAATTAGGATGGCTTTATCCATAATTTCAGTCAACGATCTGGAAGCAAACAATTTCAACTCAGATTTGATCTCCTCCTTCAGGCCTGTCATGAAAATTCCTCTCAGCAACTCTGTATCCATATTCTGTTGTGGCGCTATCACCATTTCAAACTCCGCCCTGTATTCCTCCACTGTTCCAGTTTGTTTCAAACTGAGTATAGGCCCATACGGATTCTGAAGTAACTCTGGTTGAAATCTACGGATAACAGATTTTTTCAGCACCTCCCAACTTGTTTCTTCCGTCTGATTTTCCCATAAGTGAAACCAGTTCAAAGCTCTATCTTCCATTGCGCCCATAGAAGCTTCCACCTTCTCCTCATCTGCAATCTGATTCAATCTAAAATATCCCTCCATTCGTATAATCCAATTATAAGCTCCCTCCCCATTAAACAAGGGTAGATAAATTTTTCTACCAGTACGTACAAGTAATCTCACATGTTCCTCAGTACGACGATGATTATTGACATTAGAGTATACTGAATTACCTCTGGAAGTCGCAGGGCTGTTCGAAGTTTGTCTATGATGACGTTGGCGAGATCGCGACCTCCTACTCGCGCGGAATTCCTTGCTCATCGCATCCATTCTTACATTCATGTTATCCATCATCGTTCTCATGTGTAACAGTGTTTCCTCAGTCGCTATCCAGCTACGTTCCATCTCTTCCCTTAGATTTTCCATTTTGCCTCTCGTTCGCACCATTCACAATTCCGATCGAGAGAAAAAAAATTCTGGTGATGTTTCAACCAATTTCCGATTCACCAGAACTGTTGCTCTGATACCGATGATAGAACACTGGTATTTGATTCACAGAACAATACCGTATCCAATAGCAAAAGTAGATGACAGATAGAAAACAGTTTATTGAAAAGAGAATGTCGTAAAAGGTGTACAGGGGGTGGGACAGTTCGAGATGCCCAATCTCCAAGCTACCAGCCAATAACAAAATAACGGTGTGCCTTATTTAGTTCTCCCCTTACTATTTATAGCTAATTATCCACGCAGGGACAAACCGAACTAGCTATTAGTTAGTTAAGTAACAATGACTACTTATTTCTCCTCTTGTACACCCTATTGAAATATTTAATAGGCTGTTGCTGCACCACATGCCTATCATTTTATTAATTCCATTGCTAATTTTTGCTAAACTTTTCTTCACAAAAGTTTATTAGTTTCATAAAATAAATAATATTTAAAAATTTTAAGAGAAAAAAATTAATAAAATTTCGGACAGCTTAGGTCCTAAATTGATAATATCCAATCATTCAAGTCCTAAACTGATAGTTTTCCATCATTCAGGTCCTATATCGATACATTTCATCTTTCAGGTCCCGAATTGATAATTCGTCTATCTTTCGGGTCCTGAATTGATAAAATTCCAATGTTTTATTATGGGAGAGCGTGTCTGCGGAAGAGGTTAAAAGGGCAGCTTTAGCATGCACCCCGACAAAGCACCAGGACCGGACGGTTTGAATCCGGGATTTTTTCAATATTTTTGGGATGTGGTGGGGCCGGCGGTAGTAGAGTTTTGCATTCACGCTTTTAACACAGGTCAGTTGCCGGAGGGGTGTAATGATACTACCATAGTTCTAATTCCGAAGAAGGAAAAGCCTCAATCTATTGGGGATTGGAGACCGATAGCCCTATGTAATGTTGCTTAAAAGATTTTTGCTAAGCTGTTGGCTAATCGTATGAAGAAACTACTTGACTCAATTATTGCAGAAGCTCAAAGTGCTTTCATCCCAGGTAGATCGATTGTGGATAATATTATTATTGCTTTTGAGGTCCAACATTTTCTAAAGAGGAAAACTCAAGGCAAAGAAGGGTATGTGGCTCTGAAACTTGATATGAGCAAGGCTTATGATAGAGTAGAATGGAGGTTTTTGGAGGTTATTATGCAAAGGTTGGATTTTCATAGCAGATGGATTAATCTAATTCTGCAATGTGTGGCAACGGCCCGTTATAATGTTCAAGTTAATAATGAGGTTGTAGGTCCTATCATACCTACTCGAGGAATATCAGACAGGGAGACCCACTCTTGCCATATTTGTTCATTCTAATTGCGGAGGGATTGAGTGCCCTCATTCGTCAGGGTGAAGCAGATAGGCATTTGCATGGGATTCAGATAGCTAAGAGTGCGCCGGCTTTAACCCATCTTTTATTTGGAGATGATAGTTTTATGTTTTTCAGGGCAAAAGAAGTGGAGTGTATTTTCATAAAGGAGATGTTAGATACATATTCTAGAGGCTCCGGACAGCTGGTAAATTATGATAAGTCGAGTGTCAAATTCAGTGCTAATGTAGCGTAGGATGACAAAGATTATCTGTGCAATCTTCTTGGAGTCAAAGAGGATAGAGGCAGAGGCAAATATCTGGGCTTACCATGACTGGTGGGGCGAAACAAGAAGGGAATCTTTGGCGTAATCAAGGAGAAAGTTATTCAAAGAATCCAAAGCTGGAACAGTCGGTTCTTATCTAAAGCGGGGAGGGAGATATTGTTGAAAACAGTACTGCAAGCAATGCCTCAATATGCTATGAATGTGTTTCTTATACCGGCTGAATTATGTGAGGAGATAGAGCGGGTTATGAACGCGTTTTAGTGGCGGGGACATGCGTTCAAAGGAAAAGGCATAAGGTGGCGTAACTGGGCTGATTTATGTATGCCGAAGAGCTCAGGAGGGATGGGTTTTCGGAAGCTTAAGGATTTTAATATTGCTATGTTGGGTAAACAGGTTTGGAGGCTCCTTAAACAACCGGGAACACTTGTAAGCAGGGTTCTGAAGGCTCGGTATTACCCAAAGGGAGGAGTGCTTGAGGCGGGGCTGGGAAGTAATCCTTCCCTGATTTGGAGGAGTATAGTCGCGGCAATCCCTGCAGTTCGGGAGGGAGTTCTATACCGGGTGGGGGATGGTTCCTCTATTCGTGTGTGGAAAGATAAGTGGATTTCCAAGGCAATGGGGGGGAGACCAGCCAGGGAGATCGTTAGCGATTTAGAGGATATCACCGTTAATTCTCTAATGATGATGGATGGCAGCAGCTGGGACTGGGATATTTTGCGGGATTTGCTAAATGTTGAGGATCGAGAAGCTCTCTACTATCCCGTTAAAAGGTTTCCGAGGAATGGATGAATTGATATGGGCCGATGATAAGAAAGGAAGATACTCGGTTCGGAGTTGCTATAAAATATTATCAAAAAGAACCTTGAACACTCGAGCTTGGACGCGTGTGTGGAAGCTGGAAGTGCCACCCAAAATGAAGGCCTTTTTTTGGCAAGTCTGCACGCACTGCTTACCATCCAAGGAGAAACTTTTGCAGCGGCGTGTTCCGGTTTGGCCAATATGTAGTACCTGCGGCGTGGAAAGAGAAGATACTTTGCATGTTCTGCGCGATTGCCCCTTAGCGAAAGAAGTTTGGCGTAGTCAAAGAAATATTTTTGTTTAAGTGGGGGCTCCAACTTTTGCGGAATGGGCTGATGCTATTAGTAGCAGTTGTTCCAGTTCGGATTTCAGTCATTTTGTGGCATTATGTTGGAGCCTATGGAAGGCTAGGAACGATAAGGTTTGGAGGAATAGCTTATCCACCTAGAGGGGAGTTGTGGCTTGTGCCGAAACCATGCTCTCAGGATGGCGGGAGGCCCGTTCTCAACTTCAGGCGAGGACAACAGAAGTTGCTGCAGACAGGTGGGAAGCGCCGAGGGAGGGAGTCATTAAAATAAATGTAGATGCTGCAGTGCAAGTGAATGATATGGGGAGTGGCGGGGGCTTGGGATGGTTGCTAGGGACTATGAGGGTTGGTTTATTGCTGGCAGGAGAATTAAAGAACAGGGAAGATATGCAGTGAGTGTAACAGAAGCGCTTGCGGTTCGTGAAGCTATGTTATGGGCAGCGCAAAGCGGATGACGACAACTTATTGTGGAATCAGATGCTCTTTCGGTTGTCAACGGGATCAAATACTCTGGTGGTATCTCTTATGAGGACAGCCTTTACATAGATATTAGAGATATAATGGCAGGTTTTGCTAATATAGATGTTCATTTTGTGAAGCGATCAGCGAATAGGGTTGCCCATGCTTTGGCTAGGCAAGCTATTTCAGAGTCTGATCGTACATGGGTGGGAGTTCCACCTGATAATATTATTCTGTTGTTGGAAAACGATTTACATTAATATAGTTATCTTTTCTCAAAAAAAAATTGTACTTCATATTTCAAATAAATATACTTTAACTTTTTTATATCTAGCAATTCTTGAATTAATTTGTAAACAACATAAAAAAAACTCGGACACGTCCCGACCTGACCCGGTACCCGGCCGGGTAGACTGCCCCGACCCGGACCCGGTAGCTATCCGGGCCGGTTCCGGGACTAATTTAAAAAAAATCCCGCCCAAGCCCGACCCCGAGGCCCGACCCGGGCCCGGTCCATCCCTACATAGTCTTTGAATAAAATAGGGAAAGAACAAAAGTAAAGTCACTAGATCATTGATGACTAGACGACATACGGAGACCAAATGGACTAATTTTAGATGGAGACTAATATATTTAATGAGAGACTGTTTTTAGAATTTTAATTCCAACTAAATCATCAGGACCAATGACATGAGATTTAGGATCAAAATAAATTATATTAAAGTAAATGAGGAACACAGAATAAACTCATACAAAAAAACAGATTACAGACTATACAAAAAAAGCGCAGTTTGCAACTCTAACAAGGTAAACATACCCTTCTTATAATTACACAGGTGGGCAAAAGTAAATTCTGGAAAATAACAGGCAGAGCTCATAACCGCTCTATGTACACGTGATAACAGGCAAAAGGCATTCAAACAATAAACAATACACAGAGAGATGGGAATGTGGTTGTGAATGAATTTAATCCTCATGTGTATGAGCCCCTGGGCCACCAGCATTTGCTGAGTTGGAAGATGATTGTGACCCCGCTGCAGAAGTTGAGGGCGAAAACAAACTACTGAATGGCCATGGTATCGGCACTGAAAACTGGCGTCCAGAAATTCCATCTCTGTCGTTTCCACTGCCGCCCCCATCAATGACGGTGGTGTTGATCTCTGCAGCGTTGTTGTTGTTGTTGTTGATGTTCTGGGCGGGCCCATTAGGGTCATCATCAAAAGGTAGCTGGTACCTACAGACAGGACATGAGCTATGGAGATCCAGCCATGGAATGATGCACTCACTGTGGAACTTATGCTTACATGGCATCTCCTTGGCTTCCGATCCGATTTCAAAGTCATCCAAACACACCGCACACTGCAAGGAATCCTCTACTTTGACCACGGGCATTGCCACGACGGCCTCTTTTCGGGCAGGTGGGGTTCCATACCTGCTTGGATCATTGTCGGCCAGCTGCTGCAGTAGCATGTCCAAACCGGGTCCAATGAAGTAATCACCCAAGGAGCCGATATGACGTGGTGGGTCTCCTAAAGAAGAATGGTCATTATTGTTGTTGCTGTTGCTGCTGTTTGAGCCGTGAACGATGATGGACTGATTAAACGGGTTTATCAAAATTACCCGCTCCCTATCCCTATCGTCACCTTCAGAATTTTCGGTTTCGGATAACATTCCGGCTCGGATGCCTTGGAGGAGATGGAGGATCGTGGCCGAGCTCCTTCTCCGCCGCCTACGGATGATGGTGTCCAGTTCACGGTCTAGTTCGGTCTGGTCGCGGTTATGCTCACTAGTAGTATGATCGTCCAACTCCTCATCATCATGATCTTCTTCTAGAAGTTCTATACGATGTCTGAGCCTACTACTAGTACCATGTCTACGGTCACGACGTGGATTGTTGCTCATCATGCCGAGCAAGATGGGTGCCCAAAGGGAAAGAGCTGCACGTTCTGAATCAAACGGGTACTCACTTGTAATACTGCCGCTATCTGCTTGGCCCGTTGCAGTTTCCATTTCCTCCAAAAAACCGCCTTCACAGATGGGGCAATTTAACGGCCCAATTTCCCTCAATGGGTTCACCGCCCGAGAACACCTGTAACACCAATATCGCAATGACTGGGCCTCCTCCTCCATCTTCCCTACTTGATCTCTGATCTTGTTCCTTGGTCTTTTCCTATCAAATGCACATTTAGGAATTTTAATATTACTATTATATGTGCAAAACATGCTTGAAATGATAAATGCAACATTTCATATCAAGGACCACTAGGACTTGTTCTCTTCGATTGGGTTCACTATCAGACCAAAACAAAAAAGATACGTAGTAATAGATTAGTTTGAACTAGAACACTTGCACAATTTATATAAATGTGAGATATGTTAGCTTCAATTGTTTGATTGCAGTTGGCCTGGTTTGGTACAGTGTGGTATTGTTGGGCATGGTATGGTAGTAAAATAGGGTGAGGAGAACATGTCATCTTCATCACCATTATTGCTACCAATTAAATTAATTATTTTGAAAATCTAAAAAAAGGAATTCAAATGGTTGATGATACTTTACCAGTTTGAAATGCTTGTATGGTCTAACACTCTAGCCTGGTTCGTTCTGATACACTGATCAAGTTCTAATTAGCTCTAGTTAGACTAGTCTAGACTGTGTCTAACCAGAATTGGTCTTAAGTGAATATATTATTACAAATATATTCATTAAAAAATAATGATACTATTAATGAAAGTAATAATATGTATTATTATTTTAATAGTACAAAATACAAATAAAAAATATAATAATTGTGGTGGTACTAATAATATATACCTCAAACCAAAACTGAACTGAACCAAAACTAACCGAAATAACTAACATTAGTTATTTGGTATGGTTTTTGGATTTTCATTTTCATAACCTAACTAATGGAGGAACACCCCTACATCCAACCATAAAATTGGTTGGAGAATAAGACTCTTGGTTTGGTAGCTAAACACTTTCTTTTACAACCATTTAAAGCAAATAACCATAAAAACCGGCCTAAGATATCAAAGTATCAAACCCTGTAAAAAGCAACACGCCAAGGGTTGGTGGGGTGGGGAAGAAACAAAAAAAACATGATTTTAATTGGCAGAATATCGATGAGTCCATTGAACAAAATAAAGTAATCTGAAAATCCTTTTTCAAAATAAGATGTTAAAAAGATCTAGGTTTGTGTAAAAAGGAAGGGCATTTTCTTGAGAACAATAGTCTGGAAAATGAAAAAAAAAACATTAAAAAAAGCATTAGAAAATAGTAAAAATAAATAAATCTCATAAAAGATCCTATTTGACTTTGAATCTTTGACACATTTATACTCGTATAAAAAACAATGAAATGAAATTGTGAGATCGAAATGTAGCACAAAAGAGGGCATCTTTTTAGGAGGATCAAGTAGTAATGATAATAATATGCTAGTATAATAATAGTAATAATAATAACACCAACAACAAAAACAACAACAATAAAAGTTGTTAATAACAACAATAATAGAAAATTGTTCAATTATCAAAAGTAGAAAATAATACTACGCAAGTTACAGGCAGATTTATACATAGAGTACATCGAGATTATACTAAAAGAATGGAGGACATTTTACAGATCGGAGTGAAAGGAAAAGAAAGAGACGTAAAAGGAAGCGCCCATATACAATAACATCATTATTATTCATTAAAAAAGTAAACAAGTTTGCTTTCCTGATTTGTTCTTTGAACTGATCAAGCAAGCAATCAAAGCATCCAGCAGCAAAAAGCGTGATCTTAGATGAAGCAAAACGAGAAATTAGAGGTAAAAGAGAGAAGGAATTGAAGGTTACCGGGCAGCAGCTTCAATTCCGGCCGGGCCTTGAATGAGGCCGGAGAGGGAGGGGGAGATGGTTGAATCTCCCGGCCTCCAGAACCTTTTTCTTCTGATCGGATTGGTTTTTCGAGGCCTGGAATTCTGGACTGTGTTGATGAGAATGGTTGAAAATGGGGAAAGGGCAGAGAAGAAAAGAACGAATGGAAATGAGTGGGAAAGGGTGGAAGGAGGCTCAAGTCTCTTCTCAGTCATTCATTTCCTGGCCAGCCATTCGATTTTTTATTTTATTTTATATTCCGTATTTATTTGTATCTGCTCGTCGTATACAACTTGCATAGCTGCCTGGCCCCACCAACAAACTGTATTGTCCGCCGTTACTATACCGTATGAATTACTCCGTACATCATACCGTATTAATTACAGAAATTCGTAAGAATAAGGTGGTTTTTTTATGGGTAATGACTAACTATTATCATTTTAATAAGGTGGTATTTAAATGATTTAAATACCCCCAATTTTTGAATGATACGAGGCAAGTAACCCAAATTTGTATAACTAATATAAGTACTCCGAACTTTATGTAAGAAGTTGTCTTAAAATTATGATCATATGTTTTTCTTTCACCAATGTAAGTCTACAGTGTCAAGTAATTAATTTAAATGTTCTAAACATTTTTGAGTGTGCAATTAACATTATAAAGTTAATTATTAATGTTATTGATTTAAAATATTGAAGCTTAGATAATAATTTCATCTTTATAAATGCCCAAAACATATTAAATTTTATATTTTAACATTGTTAATTTAAAATTGTGAAATAAAAAACATATTTTGATGGTGCTAAGATAAATTTTATATAAAATTTGAGGTATTTTTTTGCATGTATAAATTTGGAGTGCTTAGAGCATTTGCAATGCTACAATGTGCACGGTGCACATGTGGAATGAGAGAGATAGACACAAAAGATTGATTTTATGACATTTCTCTCACCGTCTTTCCACGGTCTTATGTGTTTTTGGTAAGTTTTTCCCTGCAATGTCAACCACAATGTCTACATCTAGACATTGTGTTTGACATTGTGAAGAAAAACTTACCAAAATGATATAAGATCCTTCAAATAAGGAGAGAAATATTCTATTTATTGTTTTTTTATTGGCTATCTCTCATGCCACGTATGCACCGTTAACGTTTTAGCATTGAAGATGCTCTTAGCTTATCTCACACCCTTAAAAGTTTAGGGTATTAAAAATACCTAACTTTCCTTTTTAATAATTATAGTTATGTACTACTCCCATTAAAATGATGATAATAATGATGATAATATGCAATCTAATATCAAAAAGTCTCTACCTTGCCATCATTTACGATATTTTTTCCCTTTTTTTATAAAAATTACGTAGTATCTAATTTTTAATTGTATCTCACAAAAACTTCCCATTAATCATTTTTTCTTCATCATGCTTCTTAGTCCTTATTAGTCACATAGTTTCTTGAATCCTTCTTGTTGTACCCACTTTTGTATACACATATGTACCCACACCCTTATTTTGTCTGTGTACACAGACAAGCACAAATAAAATGCTGCCTTCTTCTTAATGAATTGTCTGTGTGCACAGACAAAATAGGGGTGGATACAAAAGTGGGTACAAACAGATTTTTTGTACGTTTCTTAGTATTCTCGTAGTAATATTAATAGCGTATTTTAATATGTATTAATATTTTGGAACTCATATTGTAATTATGACTCATATTTATTATATATACATCTCAGGGCTACCACATTGGTTAAGCTTGATAATTATTGTCACATGTATCAAGAGTCATAGGCCCATACTCACCTAGACCATATTTTTTTCCCGACCATGACAACCTATACGTCCGCAGCCGCCTCCTCAATGTTGGTCTCTACGGCCACCGTCGATAGTGCATCAGAAAAGCACACAACTGCCGTGTCTTCTTCCTCCATGAAAGCAGCTTCCTAGAAAGTTAGGAGTGGGCAAACTTACCGAACCGGCATGGTACCGAACCGGATCGGTATGGTACTGGACCGGAAAACGGGGTTTCAAACGGTTCTCAAATATTTTGTCCCGAACCGGACCGTACCAGTTCCAAACCATGCCATGACCGGTTCTCATAAAATGAGAACCGGTATCGGACCGAACCGAACCGAATTATAATTTTATTAATTTATATAATTTTATAATTGTATATACATGTATACCATATTACCATCACTTTGATTACTCATTTGCACTTTGCTAATTGCTAGTTCACTGCAAGCTGCTTGCAAGAGCACTATTACATCCATTAGTGATTTTAATCTATTACATCCATAATGGTGATTTTGGATGTAATAGATTATAATCTATTACATCCATAATTGTTACTATCCTCTGTATCTCATTAATTGCAACATTGGAATATATACACTATTCATGTACTTTACTTTGACTACATTTTATTTATTAATGTATGTGAATTATTTTTTTTGAAAAATGTTATTAAATTCGTCTCATTACTAAGTTTAATAATCTAATTTTTATTTTATTTTACTAAGACAGAATTAAATATAATGACAGTCAAAATTGTGCGTTGGCAAATGTGAAATATTGACTGTTGCAACTAAAAAGAGACGAAGGAAGTATTAGTTATTACATTTTGTACTATTATAGATTATAGATTATAAGAAATTCATTAACTATGTAACGTGAAAATTGATAATTGTATGGATTTTTGGATGATGACTAATTTTTAATTTGTCGAAAAAGTGGCATTGTTTGGTATTGGTATGTCATGGTACCGGACCGTTTGAAAACGGAACCGTACCGAACGGGTTTAGGTCTAAGACCGAACCGAACCGTTTTAATAGTAACGGTCCGGGTACGGGTTCGGTAAAATATTGGACCGGACCGGACCGCGCCCACCCCTACAGAAAGTGCCACATCATCTGTGTTGCCGCTGCCCTTCTCCGAGAATGCTCTGTCAATTTTCTCCACTCCTGATGCGGCGGCGTGGGTTCCACCCATCTTTATGTGGACTCCAACGCCGCCTGCCCCTCGTCCTCAGGCGGCCGCATCTCTGTTTTCTGGTGGTCCGAGCAGCTATCGTCCGTTTTTCCAAGGCGGTCCGAGTGGTTCCTCGACCGAGGCTTCCAGCTTTGCCGGACCCACTTTTGTTGGTTCTCCTGGCGTTGCTTCGTTGTTCACTCCAGGTATTATTGGTTCTCACAGCTCGGACCCGACAATCCCAGGTTCTTCTCTGGCTGATTTAGTCAAAAGTATTGGTTTTTTGCACTCAATATCACAAATATTGTTACTATCAAATTAGCTGTCATAGAAGATTGCTTGTCCTGGAGAATTCAGTTTGAGTCTTTTCTGGTGTCTCAAGGTTTTTTGTGGGCTCTTAGATGGGTCGATTCCTGCCCCCCCATAAGTGTTTGATGCTTATCGTCGCGAGGTTATTAATCCTGAATATTGTCATTGGCTAAAACTTGATCAACTGTTCGTTCTTGGTTGTTTGCGACTTTATCTCGTGATATGTTAATTAATGTTCATGAATTGAAGAATTCCTTTGCTATTTGGGATCGGTTGCAGTCCCACTTTATGTCCGCTAGTCTTTCACTTTCCATGGAGCTGAAAACGAAGCTTTCTCACTCTAAAAACAGTCCTACTCAGCCCATGGAACATTATCTCCATGACATTAAAATTATTGCTGATAATCTTGTTGCCATTAATGCCCATGTGTCTCACAATGAGTTATTACGTATTATAGTATACTTTACTTGGTCTTGGACGAGATTATTAGTCCCTCATCACTTTGGTTGGTTTGTTTCCGGAAAGCTTTACCTTTGAATCACTCCGGACCAAGATATTTGAACAGGAGCACAATTACAGTACATGTTGGCTCAGGAGGAGTCGGCACCAGCTCCAGCGTTTGCTGGCCAAGCTCCAGCACTTGCAGCCCAGCTCACCCGAATGGTGGCCAGCCGAACCGAGGGCGTGGTCGTGGCCCAGGCGATCACGGGCAGCGCGGTCTTGGGGGAGGGGGGGGGGGGGGGGTCAACGTGGGTGAGGCTACGGTCATCAGCAACATGGAAAAGACTATGATCCACCGCATGGCTATGGATATCCTCCACCCGGTTACTTTCCAGGGGGTGCACCGCACGCTGGAATTATTGGGGCTCCAAGCTCAGCAGGTATGTTTATTCAGTCATGTTTTTATACGCATGCCTTATCTACTTTTGTTACTAATCATGGTTATGCAGGCCCTTCTTTGGGTGAAGGGAACTCAGTCTCTCCTTCTATAGTCTATCAAATTTGCTATGCTCTAGGTCATTCTGCTGCTTCATGCTCGTCTCGTTTCATTTCACCGACTGCGCCTGCTCTTGCTGCTTAGACTCGTGAAGCTTATGACATAATTTGGTATCCTGACTCAGGTACCTCTTCCCACATGACTCCTCATTCAGGTATTTTATCTCATTAATCTATTTCTTCTGAATCCTATTCTGTAATAGTGGCGAATGGTACTACTCTTCCTGTTATGCATACTGGTCAGGCTACATTATTTTCTCCTTCTGAATCCCATTTTCCATGCTGATGACGCCAGACACCAAATCAACCAAGCTCACTCAGACTGCGCACAGTCACGGGGGGGGGGGGGGGGGGGGGGGGGGGGCAGAACCACTCCCGAAGGATCACCGGGATGACATCATTGAGGCCCTCCAGCGCCGACTTGATGAAATGGGGGCCCGCCAAGCGCACACAACCGCTTCCACCTCCCATGTGGATCCCAAATATGAGGCCATGCTGGCCAAAATGGAGGAGATGCAAAGGAATATTGTTGAGGGCTCCGGGGAACCTGTTGTCCAGCTTCGCACGAAGACGCCTTTCACCCCAAGGGTATTGAAAGCTCAGATCCCCGGTAAGTATCAGTGACAACCCATAAAGCTTTATGAGGGGAAGACGGATCCCCAGGAACACTATAGCAAGTACCAAAACAACATGATGATGATGGGAGCGTCGGATGAATATTTATGTCATTGGTTCCTTTCCACCTTGGAAGGACCGCCGTACGAATGGTTCAACCGAATGCCTGAAGGAAGCATTGACTCGTGGCAAGAACTCGCCCAACGTTTCTTGACACAATTTGCGGGAAGGCACCAGTCAAGGAAACACTTCTCCCACTTACTAACGGTGAGGCAATGTAAGGAGTAAACCCTCCGGGATTTCCTGGAACGCTGGAGGCTGGAGACGGATAAGGTTGACGGCGTCGACGACGGGACCCTTATGGCTCTCCTACAGACGGTCCTCCGCACCGGGAACTTTTTAAGGAGCCTCATCATCGAACCCCCTCGCGACTAGATAATGGCCCTCCAACAGAGAGACCGGTACACAGAGGTCGAGGAGGTGGAAAAGTGCCACCAAAACCTCGAGCAGCAACGTCC